ATGGCCGAGGCGTGATCTCTGACTGGCTGGAGCCGTGGAGGGGAGGGGCCGTGTTCGTCGTTGGCTGAATTCGAGTCTGATTTTCTTTTCAGCGAGCCAGTCGTCTGTTTACTCTAAACAAAAAGTGCCAACAGATACAGACAGACACTGAGAGTGATTGTAGGATGTAATATTTACACGAGGAAGGAGCAGTTATGGCTGAGTAGCGTGTTTGTTGTAGTGCTAGAACCCAGAATCACCATCTGTGACGTGTAGAAACGTGTGTGGGTTAGAAAAACATCACTTAATCCTGCTTCAGCTGACCTGTGGCGTCTGACCTCCTGATGAGTCTCCATTGGTGGTTACACCAGCTGATGCTGCTCTCTGCTCTTCGGTCACCAGGTGGAGAGAGAGGGAGGAGCGAGACAGCGAGGGGGGAGGAGATGAAATGGTAGAGGGCTGGGAAGAGGCGGGGCTTGAAGCCAGCTGTCCGTTCTGACTCTGTCCAGAGCTCTGATTGGCTTGTGGATGCACCTGAGACACCTGAGCCAAGGGGGGAGCCTCCTGGGGTGACTGAAGCGTCTTCAGCCCCACCCCTCGGCCGACGACTCCACCCTCCCTGGAAGCGATGGACGCCACCATGGTGAGCAGACTAGAGGAGCTGCTGAGGACGGCGGCACCATCCTGGCTGCAGCTGCCACGGGCCAGAGCGAGAGCCTGGGCGTTTCCGAGTGTGCTCTGCCTGGCTCCCACTATCTGCACCGGGATGTGAGGCGTGTGGGGAGGCTGGCCGGAGCTGGCAGGCGGCGGGGCGGGCAGGATGGGAGGGGGGTTCCTTGAAGGAAGCTGGAGGGGCAGGCGGAGCCCCTGTAAAGTTTTAGGTTGGATGGGGATGGGTCCGTTTCCGTGGCCTGATTTCTCAGCGCCGAGTGAGGTTTTCTGTAGAGGCTGCACCACCAGAGTCTGAGCGTTGACCGCTGGTTTGATGGTTGCCGTGCCCACCGGGTACCCGTGGGGCTGAGATGTGGCGTTGGATGTCAGGACCAGAGTATGCGCTGCTGTGGGAGCTGTGGTTCCTGTGGTGAGGGTTCGAGTACCGTGGAGTAAGAGCTGGGAGAGAGGGATGGAAGACGACGAGGACGACGAGGCACCGGAAGAAGAGGCGGGGTGAGCTTTGAGATTAGTAGGCTGGGGGTAGGTGGGGATTTTGATGTGGGATGGCTGGGGCTGAGGCTGGCTTGGTTTGGTGGGGGACTGAGGGGTAGACTGGTGGGAGGGCTGGACCAGCGAGTAGGCAGCTGGGAAAATAAAAATGAAAATATATTAGTGTCTATTTAGTGACTCATCACATTTAAAATGGCAGTTCACCACCAAATTAACCTTACGTTACATATAAAAGCATTTAAACCTGAATCACTGTTATGAATTTGCACCAATATTATTATAACTAAAATGAGAAAGTCCAAATTAAGTTTCCGTTCCTTTAATTTTTGCCAACTCCACCACAGGCTCCATCATCATATGTTTAATTCCTCTTCTTTCTTTCCTACCTGAGTCACTTCTCTCTGGGGCTTCGGTCTTAACACCCACACCTTTAGGACCCGACAGACCTCGCATGGCTAGATTCTGTACCTGGAGATGGAGCACAGAGCAAATGTTTGGGTGAAAACACCCATCTGTCACTTTGT